GGGTGAAGCGGGACTAGTTATAGGAAATAGGACAACGTAACTGAATGGTATAGGGATTAGCACAAAGTAAATGGGTGAAGCAGTACTAGTAATAGGAATTAGCACAAAACCATAGGCCCAAGAGGAAAGACCAACTAAGTGGCTAACTGGGTGAAGTGGCACAAGATACAGGGAACTAGCTCAGAGTAACACTAAGTGAGGTGGCACAAGATACAGGGAACTAGCTCAGAGTAACTGGGTGAAGTGGCACAAGATACAGGGAACTAGCTCAGAGTAACACTGGGTGAAGTGGCACAAGATACAGGGAACTAGCTCAGAGTAACACTAAGTGAGGTGGCACAAGATACAGGGAACTAGCTCAGAGTAACACTAAGTGAGGTGGCACAAGATACAGGGAACTAGCTCAGAGTAACACTAAGTGAGGTGGCACAAGATACAGGGAACTAGCTCAGAGTAACACTAAGTGAGGTGGCACAAGATACAGAGAACTAGCTCAGAGTAACACTGGGTGAAGTGGCACAAGATACAGGGAACTAGCTCAGAGTAACACTAAGTGAGGTGGCACAAGATACAGGGAACTAGCTCAGAGTAACTGGGTGAAGTGCGACTAGTTATTAGAATTATCACAAAGTAGCTGGGTAAAGTCTGACTAGTTATAGGAGGTAGTACAAACCGACTGGGTCAGATGGGACTGATTAAAGGAATTACCACAAAGTAACTGGGTGAAATTGGACTAGGTATAGAGATTACCATAAAGTAACTGGGTGAAGTGGGACTAGGTGAAGAGATTACCACAAAGTAACTGGGTGAAGTGGGACTAGGTATAGTAATCACCACAGAGTAACTGGGTGAAGTGGGACCAGGTAAAGAGATTACCACAAAGTAACTGGGTGAAGTGGGACTATGTATAGAGATCACCACAGAGTAACTGAGTGAAGTGGGACTAGGTATAGAGATCACCACAGAGTAACTGGGTAAAGTGGGACTAGGTATAGAGATTACCACAGAGTAACTGGATGAAGTTGGACTAGGTATAGAGATTACCATAAAGTAACTGGATGAAGTTGGACTAGGTATAGAGATTACCATAAAGTAACTAGGTGAAGTGGGACTAGGTATAGAGATTACCATAAAGTAACTGGGTGAAGTGGGACTAGGTATAGAGATTACCACAGAATAACTGGGTGAAGTGGGACTAGGTATAGAGATTACTACAGAATAACTGGGTGAAGTGGGACAGTCAGATGCATTTACTTCTTTTTCTTTTTCTTCTTCTTCTTCTTTTTCTTCTTTTTCTTCTTCTTCTTCTTCTTTTTTTTCTTCTTCTTCTTCTTCTTCTTCTTCTTCTTCTTCTTCTTCTTCTTCTTCTTCTTCTTCTTCTTCTTCTTCTTCTTCTTCTTCTTCTTCTTCTTCTTCTTCTTCTTCTTCTTCTTCTTCTTCTCCTCCTCTTCCTCCCCATCCTTCGTCGTCGTCCTCAACCTCCTCTTCTTCTGCTGATATTGCTGCTGCTGCTCCTCCTTCTCATCCTTCGTCGTCCTCCTCATCCTCCTCTTCTTCTGCTGATACAGCTGCTGCTGCTCTTCACCCTCATCCTCATTTTTCGTCGTCCTCCTCCTCATCCTCCTATTCTTCCTCTTCTTCTGCTGATACTGCTGCTGCTGCTCCTCCTCCTTCGTCTGCGGTTTGCATTGTTACGTTCAACAGAAGATGTAAATGAGGTGTGCTCGTTGTTAACAACATGGTTGCGATATTTGCGCCTTTTGGCTCACACATTCGACTTCTGCAGGCATTTATCGTCAATGTTAGCCTTCGCGGTTAGTTTCCTAGGACATTGCAGTCCCAAAGTCATCCGTGGTCATCCTCGCTTCCTAGTTCACAGGTGGTTCCCCACACCCCAGCGCAGACACGGAATGCTGGGCAGGCATATAGAGAAGACAGGCGAAGAACATGAGCATTCCTCACCGTTCAAAAGAAGCTTCGTTAAAGGCCAGTACTTGATAATCTGTATTTGAACCCAAACCCTTTGGGTCTACAGGCGAGCGTTAAGCCACGATGCTATCGCGACTCCCCGTAACCCGTTGAGTCACGGTTTTAAAATAACATTCTGTGGCAAGGGAAATTAAGTAACTCAAAGTACTAGAGGGTATTTTTTGGTAATCTGGGATAATTGGTTTAATATAACTAGTAACGTTAAACAAAATAATTTTCTTGTTCAACAGGCTGCTTTGATTGGTTATTACCGGTGTGTGTGTTTGTGTGTGTGTGTGTGTGTGTGTGTGTGTGCGTGCGCATGTGTACGCGCGTCCGTGTGTGTGCAGGTATGTGGTATGTATGTGTGTGTGTGAGAGAGCGTGAGAGAGAGAGAGAGAGAGAGTTGGGAGAGTCGGTTATCAGTGTGTAAACAAATGCCGTGATTGTAGAGGGGGAGAGAGTGCGCGGGAAGGGGAGGGATAGGTAGTGAGATGTACAAGAGAAAAACAGGGTAAAAGGGGTGAGAAGAAGAAGAAGAAGAGAGAGAGCGCGAGAGATAGATAGAGAGAGAGAAAGAGAGTGAGCGCGCACGAGAGAGAAAGAGAGCATTGGGATTAACAAATACCACGGCTGTAGAAAGATAGATAAAAGAGAGAGAGAGAGTATCGAGACAGGGGAGGGGGAGGTGAGATGAGAGAGTGAAAGAGAGAATTTGAATTATCAGTTTGTAACATGTACCGCTGCTGGATATGGACAAAGAGAACCTTGTTTCAACGTTGTTATGAGCTGTCACACAAGTGCTAATGCCTTAGCTGTAACCAGCGATGAAAGCAGGGCGTGTCTGTGTACGGGTTGGGGTGGTAGGGGGGGGGGGCGGGGCTGCGTATCTGCCTCGAGTGCTGGAGATCCCGAATTCAAGCCCCGGTGAAGTCCATGATTTTTTTTTTCCACATGGACTTCTAGTAATTTCCTAGGTCTCTGGTTGGTTAGATCGGACGCCCGTATGTAATGTTGCGCACGATAAAGATCCCTTGGCAGTTAGAAATCGAAAAGAGTAGCCTAACGACGCTGCCCGGTCAAAATTTGGAGTTAAAAATCTACCCAACGTATTTAAGGATCCTCGCCGTTGCTACGGAGGTCGTGCACTGCGCCGAGATTCTTCGGACTCAGGGTTGAGTCAGAAGCAGAACGGTGCACTTATGGGTTACTATCCATGTGCCATGATATTGATCCGTTGTCTAAACCCAAACCTGTATACAGGGTACGGCACAAACGGAGCACTTTAGTTTTATGTACAGAGTAGGTTTGCATTGTTGATATACACGGTTGGACACAATCTGTGTGGAGCACAGCGGTTTATGTACATGATAGGACAAATGCAAAGCACAACGGTTTATGTACATGATATGACAAATGCAAAGCACAACGGTTTATGTACATGATATGACAAATGCAAAGCACAACGGTTTATGTACATGATATGACAAATGCAAAGCACAACGGTTTATGTACATGATAGGACAAATGCAAAGCACAACGGTTTATGTACATGATATGACAAATGCAAAGCGCAACGGTTTATGTACATGATAGGACAAATGCAAAGCACAACGGTTTATGTACATGATATGACAAATGCAAAGCACAACGGTTTATGTACATGATATGACAAATGCAAAGCACAACGGTTTATGTACATGATATGACAAATGCAAAGCACAACGGTTTATGTACATGATAGGACAAATGCAAAGCACAACGGTTTATGTACATGATAGGACAAATGCAAAGCACAACGGTTTATGTACATGATATGACAAATGCAAAGCACAACGGTTTATGTACATGATATGACAAATGCAAAGCACAACGGTTTATGTACATGATATGACAAATGCAAAGCACAACGGTTTATGTACATGATAGGACAAATGCAAAGCACAACGGTTTATGTACATGATAGGACAAATGCAAAGCACAACGGTTTATGTACATGATATGACAAATGCAAAGCACAACGGTTTATGTACGTGGTTGGAAAAATGCAGAGTGCAGTTGCGTAATTAAGGTGGTCCCAGGGGAAGTCCCGGTTAAATTATAGCTTAGTCTGTAGCACTGCCACTCAGCGGCGTTGAGTTGGGGTCGATTCTGTTGCCGGAAGACAGAAAACGAGTGTAAACATGTAATTATTATTGACGAAATAAATCATGAATACTTTATTTTGGTACGGGTGTTGGCGTAAGGATGTAAAAAAAAAATCGAATTTGTGAGTGAATTTATTTTATTCTGTGTTTATCTCTCTCCCTCCCTCCCTTTCTCTCTGTGACTGTCACCAATAAACCACTTGTCGTGGAAATCGAACCCTAATATTTGCGGATTATGAAATTGTAAAACATATTCACCCATGCGCTGAACATAACCCTTGCCCCTTTAGGGTCGTGGAGAGACAAAGCATTTATGTTATAATCAATAACATATCTACCTATCGTAACATTAGAGACAAAAAAAATTACGGAATCAGACCAGTTTACTTATTTAGGTAGTAATTTTGATAGTGAAGGTAATAAAACAAAACCCCTCTGCAGAAAGAGAGAAAGAAAGAAAGGAAGAAAGAAAGAAAGAAAGTTGGAGTTGGACAACCCACTAGAATCAACAGTTATAAGACAGAGAAAATGGCGCTACTTTGGACACATCTTCAGAAGAAACAGCAGAGAATCACCAAACAGGCACTAAAATAGGAAGTAAAGCAATTAAGGAGACAAGGACGCCCAAAAGAAACCCTAAAACAAATGTTGATGTGAGAGGCCAAAGCGGCTGGACGGAATTCCACCCATGATATTGTGTAACAGATTGAACAGGGTAGAATACAGTGGAGGAATAGATTGCAAACCCTGTCTGACAACAGGACAATGATGGTGATGACAAGCATCTTTCTATTTCATATTTGATTATATAAGGGCACATGTTGATTGTTTATTTATTTGTTTCTTTGAAATTTAATAGCATCTTTTGTATCTTTTAATCAACAGGAAGGCCAGGTTTTGGAGTGTTCCCAAGTCAATGACATCAGGCTAGGCCTGGCACCTAAAGTCAGTGTAAGTTGCACACTTATCCTCGTCTTGTTGTGCTGTCAGACTCATCATCGTCTTGTTGTGCAGTCAGACTCATCGCCGTCATGTTGTGTCGTCAGACTCATCGTCATCTTGTTGTGCTGTCAGACTCATCGTCATTTTGTTGTGTCGTCAGACTCATCGTCATCTTGCTGTGCGGTCAGACTCATCGTCATCTTGTTGTCCTGTCAGACTCATCGTCGTCTTGTTGTGCCGTCAGACGTCATCTTGTTGTGCTGTCAGACTCATCGTCATCTAGTTATGCCGTCAGACTCATCGTCATCTTGTTGTGCTGTCAGACTCATTATAATCATCTTGTTGTGCCGTCACACTCATCATCATCTTGTTCTGCCAAAAGACTCATCGTCATCTAGTTGTGCTGTCAGACTCATTATCATCATCTAGTTGTGCCGTCAGACTCGTCATCTAGTTGTGCTGTCAGACTCATTGTCATCTATTTGTGCCGTCAGACTCATCGTCATCTTGTTGTGCCGTCAGTCTCATCGTCATCTTGTTGTGCTGTCAGACTCATTATCATCATCTTGTTGTGCCGTCACACTCATCATCATCTTATTCTGCCATATGACTCATCGTCATCTAGTTGTGCTGTCAGACTCATTGTCATCTTGTTGTGTCGTCAGACTCATCGTCATCTTGTTGTGCCATCAGACTCATCATCATCTTGCTGTGCCATCAGACTCATCGTCATCTTGTTCTGCCATCAGACTCATCATAATCTAGTTGTGCTGTCAGACTCATCGTTATCTTGTTGTGTTATCAGACTCATCGTCATCTAGTTGTACTGTCAGACTCATCGTCATCTTGTTGTGCTGTCAGACTCATCGTCATTTTGTTGTGCTGTCAGACTCATCATCATCTTCCTGTGCTGTCAGACTCATCATCATTTTGTTGTGTCTTCAGACTCATCGTCATCTTGTTGTGCTGTCAGACTCATCATCATCTTGTTGTGCTGTCAGACTCATCGTCATCTTGTTGTGCCGTCAGACTCATTGTCATCTTGTTGTGTCGTCAGACTCATTGTCATCTTGTTGTGCCATCAAACTCATTGTCACATGTTGTGCCGTCAGACTCATTGTCATCTTGTTGTGCCGTCAGACTCATTGTCATCTTGTTGTGCCGTCAGACTCATTGTCACATGTTGTGCCGTCAGACTCATTGTCATCTTGTTGTGCCGTCAGACTCATTGTCATCTTGTTGTGCCGTCAGACTCATCATCATCTTGTTGTGCCGTCAGACTCTTCACCATCTTGTTGTGTCGTCAGACTCATCATCATCTTGTTGTGCCGTCAGACTCATCACCATCATTTTGTGCTGTCAAGACTCATCATTATCTTGTTGTGCTGTCAGACTCATCATCATCTTATTGTGCCGTAAGACTCATTGTCATCTTGTTGTGCCGTCAGACTCATTGTCGTCTATTTGTGCCGTCAGGCTCATCATCATCTTGTTGTGCCGTTGTACATCTCAAAACACTTGCAGTCTAGTCCATTTTTTGTGTGAGCCTTTTGATATCATGGTTAGAGTCAAAACCAGTCCCTTTGGCCTCTCCCAGCAGAGTTTGTTTTAGGGTTTCTCTACTGCATCCTGCTTACCTCAGTCCATTTGTTTCTTATTTCAGTGCCTTGCTAGTGATTCTCTGTCTTCTTTTCTTGTGCCTAGTCTAGTATATTGCCAGTCAAAACAATGGTGCCGGTACTCACCATAAAGTGTCTAATAAAAGGTAATTGTACTCACTACAAAGTATCTATTTCTTTAGAACTGGAAAACAGAAACATATTTTAAAAAAAAGGTGTTGGTACTGGTACCAACAGGAAACAAAAAAAGTCCAGCTTATAATGATACAAGCAGTTCTCCTGAGATGTCTATTATTTCTTTACCCTATTTAAATGTATCCCATGCAATATTGATCTGTTTCATTTGTTTCTGAATGAATTTAATGTTCATTTCATGTTTCCAGTGGTAAATACTACACTGTATGGTAAGAAAGTAAGTGTAGACATCCTGTAGCATACTTTTAGGTCTGTTGAGCTGAAGGTGCTAATTTTGTATTTTTATAGATCAGTCAGCATCAGCATACTAGCGTATTTAATACTTCTGCTTGTTATTGCTAAGTTGCAGCCAGTGATGCTTAGTGGATTGATGGTTGCCTGGAGACCTGAATGTCTGGTGTTCAGATCCACATTTCCCTGTGTGGGGGTCCCCCCCCCCATCCAGAAAAAAAAGAGAATGGTAGACCCAGTGACCCCTTAACAAGCATGTCATAAAAGTAAAATAATTAGGGGTGTTTCCTTCAAAGTCAGAGTGCATTTGCTTGAGAAGCAAGGAACCAACAGTCTGCATACAAATAAACTAGATATGTAAAACAAATGTACACAGAACTTTCTACCAGAGTTTACAACGGGTGAAGAAGAAGAAGAAACCAGGTCGACGACCTATCCTTAAATGGGAACCAGGTTCTAGGAAGTAAGTCCGGTCAGAATGGACGCTAGGCACGGTCACTGTTCTAAGTTGTGGCAAATTTGTTGCTTTTGCCAGACAGTGGCCGTTGCACTTTTGCTCCATTTGTAGACTGACAAGATATAGTTTCATCGCCCAGCTTCTGAGTTGAGTGCATGGCGGGACACAGTGAGCTGCAGACTTTATTTGGAATGTTTTTTGACTGTGACCAATGTGGTTGTGTGAATTGTAGATTCAGAAAATGGTGCAATGCCTGTTGTGGCAATATTGGTGGTGCCATAATGTGATTAAAATTGATCGCATGTGCAACTGTTGATCTGTTGGTGACTTCTGCTACCATCCATGATGAACTGCATTTCTAATGTCGGATGGCTACCGTATGCTTTTAATGCGTGTTTATGCTAGATATGCGGAGACAGCAGTCTGTCAATCTTTCCACAAGGGACTGTGATAAACATTCTGTGTGTGTTCGCTGGCACAGGAGCGGAGTGACTATGGGGTAATCCGTTTGCAATGAAGCTGAATCTAAGATTACCAAGATTACTAAGATGGGAAGTAAATATGGCCAGCATAATGTTGACCAAATGACCTGTCAGGTTCCAGTTGGTCTATAAAATTATGTCTAACATCAAATACCATATGCACAGCTGGCATAAACAGGGTCCTTTAGTGTACTTGGTGTTGCTAAGTGAGTAAAAGTAACTCTGTCTGGTATTGCTAGATGAGTAAAAGTAACTCTGTCTGGTATTGCTAGATGAGTAAAAGTAACTCTATCTGGAATTGCTAAATGAGTAAAAGTAACTTTATCTGGTATTGCTAAGATAGCGAAAGTAACTCTATCTGGTATTGCTAAGATAGCGAAAGTAACTCTATCTGGTGTTGCTAAATGAGTAAAAGTAACTCTACTTGGTATTGCCGTCTTAGTGTCTACTTTTCAAGACTCGTATGTTTTTTTTTTAAGCTGTTTTTTCCCGTAAACCCAAGAAAAACCAACCCAGTAACCCATATTTAGGAGTTTCCACCCTGATAAAAAAATCTTTAAAAAATAAAATTTGTAAACAGGTCACACACACAAAATATCCACCAATTTCATTTATATATGAATATTAGAAAACAAAAAACTACATAAATCTGTCCCCAGCTGTAAAGATAACAAACAAATGAACACAAAGAGAGCGTAAAATTAACTGGATATCTTTTCTTTGATCATAAAAATATCAATTACTTGACCCGTAACCTGGTTGCCAGGTAACCACTAAGAGTAATTGGAAATTATGAGGTCATAATTTCTGTTAAAGTTCTTGTTTGTTTAGCAAGAACTCTACCCCTCCAAATGCTATTTTTAATAATTATAATAAATCCAGGTTCTCTAAACAGTCTGGCCAGGTGTCAGTGATACCAGTGCTGTTAGCTAGGCGTCTCCTGAACAAGATACTACAGTAGCAGTGTCAGTGATACCAGTGCTGTTAGCTAGGCGTCTCCTGAACAAGATACTACAGTAGCAGTGTCAGTGATACCAGTGCTGTTAGCTAGGCGTCTCCTGAACAAGATACTACAGTAGCAGTGTCAGTGATACCAGTGCTGTTAGCTAGGCGTCTCCTGAACAAGATACTACAGTAGCAGTGTTAGTAAAGCGACATTTATGGGGGAGTGAATCCAACTGGAAGTGTCGGCTTTGTGGCTTTTTGGGGCAGCAGGATTAATATGAATAAATTATTTATTTATCATTAAAAATAATTTTTTAAAGAAAAACGACATTTATTAAATCCAAACAGAATGCATGAATTTTTTCTTTTCGTTTGTTCGAGCGACATAATTCCAATGCGCCTGTTTACAGCAAAGCTGCAGTATTTGTGACTTTTGGCCGACACAACTTCATCAAGCATTTTTTGATCAGATTAACTTCCCCGATAGTTTGGATGAACTTGATGTAGCCTTGTTTGTGTGATGTTCTCTTTGTACCCTTGTCCACATGTGTTGCCTGTGAAGAACCCGTCCAGGGCAACTGCAGGGAAACAATCAATTAAATCTATAGATTCTAGAATTAGAATCTATGGATTTGATTGATTGCATTTTCTTGAAATATGAAGGGTTGTTCTCTCTATCCAAACACTCCCTGAACACTGTGTTTATTCCTCAAGTGCTAGTTTGGCATTAACAAAAAATGGGCTTTTTATCTTTGTAATATGATGCTTATGTAGGATACAAAGGTGCTGGCAGACATCCTGGAGAAGAGTTCACACAGTCTGGAATCACGAACGGTGACAGTCTGTAGCGGACTGGATCTGGTCAATATCACCTACACACTTCTGATAGCCAGGGACCCAGAAATCGCTAAGGTATATTGTACTGAACTCCTGAAATCACATACACAGTTTCACACACACACACATGCACACGCAACACACGCAACACACACTCTCTCTCTCTCTGTCTCTCTCATAGCCCAGGACCCTGAAATTGTTTAGGTATGTTGCTGTATTGAACACCTGATGCCACATACACAATTTTACACATGAATGCACGCACATACACATGCACTCTCTCTCTCTCTTTCTCCCTCTCTCTCACAACCTTTCTCTTCCTCTCTGTCGGTCAGTTATAGACAGAAAAAGGTTCAGAAATGCTTTCCCTGTCAACCATACTTGTAGGAATATATGTTTGTTTGTACGTTAATGGCATAATGGATAATTAAATTTACACCTTAGACAAAGAAGTAAAAACCCCCAAGTAAACATAAAATAAGATTATGTCTTTAGTTGCACATTTTCCTGTTGATATTATTTCATAAAACAGACCAGACAGTTTCTTGAGGCCCCATGAATAATTATTTTTTTTACTGAAAAATGCTAAACATGGCTACCCGTGAAAAAATTATAGAGAAAGATAACACAAGCACATGAACTGATCCTTGCTGTTGGAGAGGTATGAACATTCACATCAGTCGGCAAGGCACTTGATGTTAATGATTTTTCTTTCAGTTTCCAGTGTCATTATAGCACCGGCCTCACCAAGATTGTTTACAGTTGTGAGTAATGTCAAACCTCACGGGACTGCACCCCCACAAACACAGAACTCTCGGCACATAGTGTAGTCGCCTAAACATTAGAGAATTGTAGCTAGACTGAAACAGTGGACAGATGAAGACTATGTCGTTGAAAACAAAGATGTAGTGGTGGAATGAGTGGAGGCTTGACTTGGAATAAAACGTGGCTTTCTACCGTCACTTGAAATGCACTTTGTCTTACGACATATTCACTCTCGCCATGGCTCACTCTCTGGATGATTCATTGGCACATAACTTGCACTGCTCGAACGTCTAGGATTCATAACACGAACGCCAGTCAGCTTCCTTGTACATGCTGTCAGTTTATTCAGTTACATTTATTGCCCATGCTTCAACAATTATTCACACTTCTATCGCTCGCGACATATTCAAACACTAGTCATTCGCGCAACATAAAGACTACATCTTCAACTAAATGCAACCGTCTTCCACGACTTCTGTTGATCAACTGACCACGAGGCTAGCTCGGGCTTCCCCTCACTTACTCGACTAGCCACAAGTATCTCGTGCCGTCACTTGTAGGACGCACTTTCTGCTTGCCACCATGTCCTCGTGGAGACCATGCAAAGCACCTTATCACAAGTGACTGCAGAAATTGGTCATCTCCCTATATATAGATGCTGATGAAAAATTGTGTGGTACCAGATTCGATTCCAGCTGGGAGCAGTTTTGCACCAGACCGCCTTGCATTAATTTTGACAGTGGTATTGACAGCCAACCGTTCAGGAGCAGGGGTATACTACTGAACATAATCACTGATTAGTGAAATCACAAACGACCAAAAAATGCCAGGGGCTTGTTCTGCAGTGTCCTCTGAAGGATATACAGCTGACTAACTTAGTGAGAAGTATAACACTTTCAACCTTAGAAAATGTCCGTGCAGAGGCCCATGGGACAGTAGGACATGAACTCCCTAGCTTCATTTAGGGTACAAGGCCGATCAATGGCCTGACCATTTCTGCAGAGCCCCATTGTTTGGCCAAAAAAACAACAAAAAACAGACTCACCGCCCCTAGCAGGCATCTTGTAAAAGGCAACTGATTAGGAGTTTTCTGAATTCAGATTTGTTGGGCCAGAAAGTGCAGATATTTGCAGCCTAGTTGTAAACCACAGAACAACAGGCCTATCTCCTGAATGCAGAAGTAGAGCACTACCGAGACTTTCGCATGTTCCAAAGAGGATAATGTGCAGTGGATGTGACCATTGAAAAAGCTGGTGAGAACAAATTTGGAGGTCCAGTATATAGCAGACCTTCAGTGTGGAGGATTTCTGTACAGATGGCTCTGTATTCAGAGGCAGAAGAAGTGTGTGGGGGTTGATTGCAAAAGTTTGAAAATAGTGTTGGAGACACAGCAACTTTCCAATGGCTTGAGAACCTGGTGCACACACATTTCATGATTGCAACCACATGTTAAGAAATATGAAAACAGGCATGCTCCCTGCAGTGTGGCAAGCATTGCCTTACAGGTCCAAGGTAGTCTGCTGAACAGACAGACACATGGGTTAGTTCTGCCCCAGTGGGTGCTAGATGTGGTTAAGGCCCTTGAGAGCAAGTTAGCAAATCAGAGGCATGAATAAATCATTATGGTCTGGAGAGAATGATACAACTAGGAGTGACCACAGAATCTGTTCAACACTCTGCACTCCAAGGAAAGACAAGATGGACATGTAACCAAATTGCTGCCAGCATCATTGGATTGGAGCTGATTAATTGGCTGCTGAAGATGAGCATAAACCACCTATGGGAATGTTCAGAGTACTGTGTTTTCAGTTCTTGGCTGAACACTGAACACTCCACACTGTGGAGAAGGTACTTCATTGATTTAGTTTCTATATCTTATGTGTTTGTCAATTTCTGGTATTTTCTGACGATGCTAGTTAATATGCCTGTGACATTGTATGATTTCGTCCACATTTTTCAGGTCTGGTTTGAAGGTCTCCGGAAAATTACTTTGAACACAAAAGCTAACAATGTATGCCCTATGACTCAGCTGAAAAAACAGTAAGTGTTGATTCTCCTCCCCTGATTCATCACCTCTTTCTTTTCTCCCTCATTTTGTCTTTCATTTTCTAATGGAACACAGGCCACCCATTCTGAGCTCTTGTATCTGTAGATTCGTTCATAATTGTTTAATTTTCTATAGGATGAGGTAGGATCTTGCCAGCTTCCTTAGATAACTCTTATGACATGCATGAATGACACTTTATAGTGTTACAGTTCTTTGCTTCCTTTAGAGACCAGTAAAACACAATCAGCTGGTTAGTTTTAAGTAAATCTTCTGGAAGGCTGTATTCACCTTATGTGGCTGTGTAATTGACCTATCCTCAGAACATGGGTTCAAGAAATTTTTACAGGAAAGTAAAGGCAGCCAACCCTTTTACTTCGTATTTGCCATTCGGTCATCGAAAACATGGCCTGTCAGCAGATATCTTATGTGTTGTAAAATCTAGTGAATGATTTTATTAACTCATAAGCACCTGTCCAGTATTTCAAAAGATAATATTCCTTTGGTTAAGCACCAGCAAGGAAATAAGAATTTAAATTTTCAGAGCATGCATCTTCCCTGTAGCAACACACAGATGTTAGTCATGCACTATTTACCAGAAATGCTATAGAAAGATTCTCAGAATATCATACCAAAAAAAAAGATATACTGACATTTTAAAAGATCTGAACATCAAGGAAGATTGGCTAAATAACCGCATCTTGTCTTGAAAACTGAAATATTTTGGTCATATCAAGCAGCATGTCAGATTGGAAAAAATTATAGCAGAAGGCATGATACCAAGAAGGAGTGACAGGGGCCGACAAACACGAAGATGGGCAGATGTTAGAACTGACTCTTGAGTATGAAAGTGCACGAGGTGGGAGAGCTGGCAAGAGATCTAGTTTTGTTTCAGGCAGACTGGTGAGAGCAGTGTTCTGCAGAGGACCTGTTACATGATGATGAAAATAATGTTTCATTAATGCTGTATGGAGGCAACAGAATCGCATGCATTGATGAGTGGGACTAGCACAGCCAACTCGATTCAAGGAGAATTATGTATTGCTAATGCAGCGTGATCACTCCCTCGGCCTACTTTGTTAGCCCCAAAGAGAAGGTAACACCAATATGTTTTTAACTAACTATACATCTTTGCCTGGCATATTTCTGTGTATCTCCTCAGGTGCATACTGTGGTAACAATGACATAAATGAAATAAATGAGTTAGTTATTTATAACTGAAGTACAAATTCAACAACAATTAGTTCTTTATAACTGAAGTACAAATTCAACAACAATTAGTTCTTTATAACTGAAGTACAAATTCAACAACAATTAGCTCTTTAAAACTGAAGTACAAATTCAACAACAATTAGTTCTTTATAACTGAAGTACAAATTCAACAACAATTAGTTCTTTATAACTGAAGTACAAATTCAACAACAATTAGCTCTTTAAAACTGAAGTACAATTCAACAACGATTAGTTCTTTATAACTGAAGTACAAATTCAACAACAATCTCATGCACCTGCCTGTTTTACCTGGGCAGCCGCAGGGTCAGAATCGTCTTTTTTAATACAGAGTTCAGGGCGGAGGGAACAAATAGCGGTGGCCTCAAGAAGTTATAACCTTTTGCCAATGTCTGATGTGCGAAGGATTTAAAATGCATTGTTCTTGGATTCGGTGTGTCCAGATTTTAAAAGATTGCGTGCTGTTGCGGAGGTATGGTCTTTACGACTGGTGTTCTCATTTTGATTGTTTACTTTGCATTGCTTTTTCCACCCATACTGGAATAGGCTCAGCGAATCGTGTCTCCAGGTGTTGATCAGTTCTTCCTACAGCTTCAGACCTAACAAGATACAGCGATATATGCCAGGCAATAGATTGTGCAGTCTATTTTTTACGTCTTTTTTTCTTTAAATTTATAACAGGGAAGCATTGCTTTGATTAACTATACTTCGGTGTTAAACCATGTTTTCACATTCTGTTTCCAGCTGGATTAAGCTGTGTTGTATGGTCAATCCAAGCGGAAAGATACCAGTTAGAGGGTAAGTTCTGGAATCAGATGATAAGTTGGTGACTGATTATTTGATTGATTGTGTGGTTTATTCATATGTGACTGACTGATTTAGGTGATTCAGTCATCTGTTAAGTATTGACCTGTTAGAATAGATTTGTGGGATTGTTAATGTGGCCTAGTAATTTGTTATTGTTTGTTAATTTGATTTCTTTCTTGATAAGAATGGTTTAGTTAGTTGTTAATGTCTGATCATTTGAGTTGTGTAATTGTTAGAATTATTTAATCTGATAATGTTTGTTTGGTGATTGGTTGTTTGATTTGTGGGAAATTGTAAGAATTATTGAACCTGCAAATTTTTTTTTTTTTTTTTTTTTTTTTTTTTGGGTGATTGACTGTTTGATTTGTGGGACTGGTAATATTATGTAGTCAGTTATTGGTATCTGATAATTTGGTTTTTATGTTTGTTAGAGTTATTCAGGAGAAAAATACTCTGTATCTGCCTCCTGTGATAAGAATTCCAGAGAAATTTGACTAAAAAGCTCAACAAAATGGGAAAGAGGAAAACGTGCACAAAACAACGTAACGTTTCGGCCAGGCAGCCTTTTTCAAACATGTGTCAACAACACAACGCCGTAACGTTTCGGCCGGGCAGCCTTTTTCAAACATAAGTCAAACTTATGTTTGAAAAAGGCTGCCCGGCCGAAACGTTACGTTGTGTTGTTTTGTGCACGTTTTCCTCTTTCCTTTCCCATTTTGTTGAGCTTTTTAGTCGAATTTCTCTGGAATTCATTGTATTAGCTTGACTGCAGTCACCCCCCATAGTTTCTCCTGTGATAAGAGCAGGATTTTGTCAGGGCTCTGATGAACAGAGTATTATTGCGTCGGACATCAGTTTTTCACAGGATTCATATAAACAAGCAAAACAGCAACCAAATTATATTTAAAAAAAAAAATGAAAGTAAATATTGAAGTAAGATATTTTTCATTTTTTGAAATCATGACACAGAAAAACCACACAACAGCCGGGGCTGTAGGGGTTGGTTCTGCAATGTCCCGTAAAGGATACGCAGCTAACCTTTAATGCATGATGGAATTCTGGAAGGAGCTAGTGATAGTGATCAGATTTTTGACCTATTTTGTTGGTTTTAAATCATTCAGCAAAAGACTTTTATTTTAGATAAGGTAGCAGCATTAATGATAGCAAGAAGAAGAAAACTACAATGCATTTCACATAGACACTGGATGGGTCTTTATCTCAGTGTACATTCCTGGACCTGTTGGGGGGGGGGGGGGGGGGGGGGGGGGGAGGAAAGATCCGCTGCTCCCTGTCGAGCTTGTTGTAAAAGGTGACTAATTAGGATTTGTTGAAATCAGATGTGTTGAGTTAAAAGGTGCAGATATCACAGCCTAGCTGTGAACCACAACACATCTACCACAGCCTAGCTGTAAACCACAACACACCATCTACCACCACAATTTTAAGGGGGAATGCAGAAGAAGATGGATTGATTGATTTGTCTGATGTTTCTGCAAACATATGTTTTCTGTTTCAGCATCACTCGGACATTTGCATCTGGCAAGACAGAGAAGATGGTGATGTCGAGTCTGAAAGATTTAGGTCTTCCTAGTGGCAAGGTAATGATACTATCTGTCTAGGCTATCATCAGGGCTAGATTTAGATGGATGTGTACAGCTCTGAGGCCCCTACCATTTTAAATTTTGCTAGCTAATCTAAAGAAAACTTTAAAATATGTACATCTTTTAAACATTTGAGTAAAGAAGTTTTATTAAAAGAAATTGTAAAAAATATGTTTGCACAATCACAGAAATTATGTTATATAATCATCTAAAAGGCTCTAAGTTACAACTTAAAATTTATTTTTCTCAAATCCGAATATGCTGAATTGTTAAAAATAGGAATTTGTTGAGGCCTCTGCAAATTGTGGAGCCCTTAGCTTCAGCTTATTTAGCTTATACCTAAATACGGACCTAGCTCTCATCCATTGGTAACACGACTGCCATCTCCTACTGTCCTTAAACCTTCTTTTGAATTTTTATTTTTTTTTGTTAGTAGTAAATGTATTATGTGCTTATAAACATAGATCATATCTTTCTTAACCCCTTGTTTTTACGGCATTGCAAAGTAATGTGCAGTTTTTAAATCTTCTTCTTTTCTTCTTTGTGTTCACCAGCTGTACACTCTGGCGTAAAGTTCTGGTTGTTCGTCCACTTCTGGACTGCAGTCATGCTCCAGAACCTGAGTGTTGCATGTGCATCAGTTTTACAGATCTGATTCAATTGAATGCAGACTGCTGGTTCCTTGCCTCTCAGGCAGATGCACTCCGACTTCAAAGGAAGCTCCCCAGTTAGTCGACTCTTACGACATGCTTTTGGGGAGGCAGTGGGTCTATTCTTGTTTTCCCTACAATAGGGCCCCGGAACCCACACGGGGGAGTTTTTAAATGTTATCTGTGAAGCTAATTTCCAACTTTTAAATCGGCAGATCATAGTTGTAGTTGAAATATCCAAGTGTTGACGATAGGAGCAATCATTATTATACATCTATATACTCTTGCCTAATCTCAGTTGACCAGTCTCCCTGTGGGGTCTTTTAGGTCACAGTGGCAAAAAATTACAGCAGACTGTAATTGGAGTTGAAATATCCAAGTATTGATGATGGGGGGGGGGGGGGGGGGGGATCATTATTATACATAAACACTTTGTTTTGTCAATCTGTATACTCTTGCCTAATCTCAGTTGACCAGTCTCCCTGTGGGGTCCTTTAAGCCACACTGGCATAAAACTACAGCAGACTATAATTGGAGTTCGTATTTCCAAGTCTTGATGGAAGGCAGAAATGGTCTTTTGGCTATTTAAAATGGTCTAAAGAGCAACTTGAACTCCTCCTAAAGTTGAACGATTGATGTTGAACTATTTAGCGCCATATAAATCTATCTTTATATGTGTAAGTAAATCATGGACAGTTGGTCGATTGAAAAAATTATTTGGAAAATGCGAAGATATGTTTTCTAGACGAATATAAAATTACCCTGACAGATTGAAACAAAAAAAATAAGGGTGTCTTAAAGGAAACTGACTCACGAAGAGAACATTGCCCGCGTCAGAAGGAGACTGTCTGCATTCTTTTATCATTTCTTGAGAAGGAGAAAACCGGAGTTCAGTGACAGTGAAAATGTTGGAGGGGAAGAGTGGCAAAATGAAACCGAGAGAGAAGATGCAGAACTGTTTGACATCATTGCATAGACATATAATCAAAGTGCTGCTGGTACTGTTGGCATTGGAACTCTTTGCTAGCTGCTGAAGATGAGGGAATAGCACTTATGGGAATATCCAGTGCTGTAATATTGGTTCTTAACTCAGTTTAACTCTTGTATGCTGTCTCATAATTGTCTATTGCTTTTTTCCTCCGTCTTTAAATGTTTTCTCATAGTTGTCCTGTCTGTTTAGTTTGATTTCATGTTGTTTATTTCTGTTTTACTGAAAGTGATGTGTTACAAGTTTGTTTGTTGTTGCTGTATACACTATGTTGATAACATCATTGTCAAGTCCATTGCTGACTGGCATGGGTGATCATCCTCTTCTTAACCTTTGATCTTCAGCATCTTGTGTTGACACCCCTCCATACCATGGCAAAAGGCTTTCAAGAGTTGTCCTATGTCACCTTCCTCTGTCAGGGGTCTCAGTATGCTCCAGATTCCTTCTTCTCATAACATGACCAAAAACTGATGACTGTCTCTTTCTGTTGTTCATGATAAGTTCTTTAAGCTCTTGTCTCTTTCAAAACCTCTGGGTTGATTTTTTTTGGAGGGTTTCTTTTGCTAAGGATTCTTCTGTAAAACCACATCTCTGAGGCCTCAAGAAATTGTTTGCCTTCTTTATTAATTATCCAGGACTCACAGCCATATTTTAAAACTGGCTTTGTATAGCATGTAACAACTTGGTTTTTAATCTCCAGTGGTATCATTCATCTCTCAATGTTTTTACATGTAACTTGTTTGTTACTGTGTTAATTATTTTATGATTGACATTTTTATTGCTACACATATTTTTCTTGTTACAATATTTGTTGTTTCATATATAAATATATATAAATGCTGATACATTTTTTTGTTGCACCTCCAGGGTGATGAGATAGATCCTGCTTCATTCACTTTTGAGAAGTTCTATGAACTATATCACATGATTTGTCCTCGCACTGATATAGAGGAGCTATTCAAAGATTTGTGAGTTATATTTAGTTTTATTGTTTTCAGTATCGTTATTCCTTTGAGTGTGTTCCTGGGCCTTCTTGTAGGGGAGACAACAAGAATAGGCCCACTGCCCCTAAAAAGCCTTTTAGAAAAGTTAACTAATTAAGGGCTGTTTCCTTCAAAGTTGGAAGGAATCAACAGTCTGCATTCAGATAAGCCTGATCTGTAAAGCGGATGCGCATGCAAAACTCAGTTTCTGGAGCAAGACTAAAATCCAGAAATGGATAAACAGCCAGAACTTTCTGCCAGAGTTTATAGCCAGTGAACACTAAGGAGAAAAAGATTACTATTATTATATTCTTTTTTAATACATAGTGTGCTTTCAGTTACTTGCTGTTTTTATTTCTAAGACATTGCTAAGTTTTCTTTAGTCAATCACAGATGTCATTGCATTTAACTATTATCCTGTTTGTCAAGATTCTCTCCTAGCTGTTAGTTTTTACTGTTCTACCCTAGCTGTTAGTTTTCACTGTTCTGTTAGTTTTACACTTTAGCTGTATCTGTTAGCTTTCACTGTTCTGCCCTAGCTGTTAGTTTTCACTGTTCTGCCCTAGCTGTTAGTTTTCACGGTCCTTTCCTAGCTGTTAGTTTTCACTGTTCTGCCCTAGCTGCTATTTTCACTGTTCTGTCCTAGCTTTTAGTTTTCACTGTTCTGCACTAGCTTTTAGTTTTCACTGTTCTGTCCTAGCTTTTAGTTTTCACTGTTCTGCACTAGCTTTTAGTTTTCACTGTTCTGTCCTAGCTTTTAGTTTTCACT